GTGAAAATATCCCTTTCTTTTGGCTTTAAAACTAAAAACTTTGGATCTCGACCTACAGGCGTCCGATCGACTTGCGGTTGATTTCATTCGATTTCTCATCAAATTCTGCTATATAGAGATCAATATTAGATTGGGCGCTTACCTGTAAGAATATCGAGAAAATCGGCGTTATATATAACTCCGGTCTCTGTAGTATATTTTGTTCGGAGTTTTGTATAACGCCGGTTTTCTCGATATTCTTACAGATAAGCGCGCAATCTAATATTGATCTCTATATAGCAGAATTTGATGAGAAATCGAATGAAATCAACTGCAAGTCGATTTTTGAAATTTAAAACTAAAACTATAAAACAATCTCCAATTTTACCTGAAAAGCTAGAAACTCTAAAACCGGGTGATGCAGAATTTGAAATTGTTCGACTAAATAGCAAAAAACAGCCACTGAATAAACTAATGGAAGACAAGCTTGAAAGACGAGAGCCTGAAGGGCGAATATGAAAATGAATTTGCTATCGAACCTTCACGAGTTTCTTGTGCACACTTTTTGTTCTATTGCTTATCGCGATTTTGTCTAATATTTTGTGAATTCGATTCCTAAGAATTGTGACAGTGATATAGACGGGAACACAGGGGATAGTTAGCCAGAGAATCGTGAAAAGACTCAAGAAATTGAAGATCGAGACGTGACCAGAGACGGTTAGGCCTGAAAAGGGGCTTTGATTAAAATTAATCTAATATCTAACAATCTAACAATAATCTAGCAATAAGCAAGCTTTATCCCAATGTTTGTATCTTTTTAAGATCAAAAATTAGAATAAAAGTCTTTAGACCAAAAGTTCTCCCTTTGTAAAAACCGACCGTCAAGAGAATAATTGAATTTTGCAATCATTAATTTTCGGATTATTGGCTCAGGATCTTCGGTGAAAGTGAATGAGATCTAAATCGAAGAAAAAAGAAAATCAAAGACAAATTACTGCTTTAAACTTAGTTTACCGCTTGAAAAAGTGATGGGGAATAGAAAGAAAGACAAACGAAAATTGAGACAAGAATTGAGGGATTTCGCTGAAGAAGTTTTCTTTCAATCGAACTTTACTAGAGCTTACATTTTTTAGAATGTACCATCGATACCAAAAAGATGGAATGAGTGAGATAAGACTGTGAGCATAACAATGTAACATGAAGGAATAGCCGATGAAACAAGCACGATGACCCCAAAATGAACAAGCGCCATAGGAGATGTAGGTTAGGGATTCACCGTCGGGAATGATTCTAGAAAGGAGTACTACAAATTCACTTTGGAGTACTACAAACTTCATTCTTTAGTCTGCATCTAGTGCTTGTATCAAGCTTATTCAATTCTTGTATTTGTTGGTTTTAAACGAAAGTAAGAAAAGCAATGAAAAGACTCATTCACCAATCAAATAACATCCATAAAGTTGAACAAAAAAACGGGTATTTGTAATTTTAAAACAAAGCAAGACCTATGGGGGGGGGGTTGGGGGGTGGACAATAAACAACAAATTTTTTTTTTTTTTTTTTATATTTTTTTTTTTTTTTTTTTTTTTTTTTTTCGTTTAAAAAATTTAATATTTTTTTATATTTTTTATTTAAAAAAAAAACCCCACCCCCCCCCCAACACAAAATAAAATTTTTTATATATTTTTAAAAATTTTTTATTATTGGTAATATGTTTGAGAATTTTTTTTAAATTTTTTCTTATTTTTTTTTTTTTTTTTTTTTTTTTTTTTTTTTTTAAAAATAGAGGGTTTTTTTTGATGATTTACATTTTAATATTTTCTCTTTTTTTTTTTTTTTTTTTTTTGTTTTTTAAAAATTAAAAAAAATAAAAAACTTTTTTTATATATATTTATTTTTTTTTTTTTTTTTAATTTTTTTAAAAAAATTTTTTTAAAGTTTTTTTGGGGAAAATTTTTTTTTTTTTTCCGCCCCCCCATTTTTCCCAAAAGTTCCCTATTTAATCTCACCTTTGCATTACAAATATTGCCAGAAAGCATGCTGTATAATCAGTGAATGCAAAATTAGCAATATAAACAGCATATGATCGTAATGTTTTCGGAGTTTTCGTCAAAATCAACAAAATCAACGCTGAATTTGCCGCCAAACCAATGATATTGAAAAGCGAATGAAGAAACTCATTGACTATTTCAGCGGTAACTTTCAACATTTAGATATAATCTAAGATTTGGAGATATTTTGTAATGGAGAATGTACTTTTCTTGTACCAGAATAATTACATTTTTCTGTGCAGAATCAGAAAAAATGAGAGATTGATTGAAAACAAAGTACTACCGACCCGTTGAACGCAATTAGATTTGAAAGCTGTGAAAAAAAAGGAAAGAAGTATGGAAAAAAATTGTTTTTAATGAGATTTTTGTTATTCGATGATTGACACAAATCGAGTACATTTCTTGAATAGAAATTGACTCATTTAGCTTTCTGTGTGTCAGTATTTCAAGAATTTTCTCACCGTACCGTACCGTAATACCGTAATAGCCGTACCGTAATCTCACCGTATCGCACCGTAATGTACCGTCCGTGTATACTAACTGTTAACTTACAAGTATAATTACAAGATACTGCAGAGAATGGCTATAACTTAAAAGATAAAAGAGAAAGAAAAAGATCTTAAAGTGAGTGTAGTGTAAGAGGAGAGACTAAAGGCTGACAAAGCGACAAAGACAAACATTTTGTAACTCTTTATTCGAAACTGATGAAATTGCTGGAATTGCTGTAATTGATAGGTTTTATTCAGCCAGTTCCCTTTTCAATTCCTTCGTCCACTCAACATCTCATTCCCCTTATTCACCCAATAGTTCCAATCTCTTCTCTCTTTCGGGCATTTCTTCACAATCTCACGAATCTCAGCGGCTCTCTAAACAGAAATCTACTAACAGAATCGCTTCAAATCTGTCAATACTTGTACAAACTATTACTCACTTTTTCACTATAACTTTCTCTCATTAAATTGCAAGCATTCTCTCGGAAAGCATCCTCGTCAGGCCAAGCTGCAAAAAAGCACCTGTTTTAGACATTTTCGGATGTACTTTGTGCAAAAACAAAAAAGGTAAGTCTGTCTGGTTCACCGGGGGGCAAGATCAGCAAGATCAGCAAGATCTCACCATTCATAATATAATCTCCGGGTTGTGGTAGGCTCACTCCGCACATTGCCGAATTGAGATCGCCTTTCAAACGATTCTTCATTGAGCGACGATTCGTTTCTTTCAATGGAGCCTAAAATTCAGAAATCGACTTTATTTGATGCTAGATTTTTTGATGATTACTTAGTACTCACCATGAAATCCTCAATGACTTCAGCTTTCATATAGCATCCTCTATTCCTGATCTCATCTTGAACACAAGTGTAGTTCTCTAATTTGCTCACACGGATACGGGTGACTGAAATCTCAAGAATAAATGGATTGATTTGAAGAATTCTATACAATTATGGTTATTTTGAGGATCTTTATCAGACAAACCGTAATCATTAGAACAAATCGCGTATATCGGTTCCTTTTTCAGTTGCCACATTCCATTGAATTGAGGACAAGAGCAAGCATATAAAGACTCGAACAATGATAGACCAATGAATAAAATAATTAACGCAAACATTGCTCTTCAAAAACTCTCACAGTTTTGGAGTACAAGAATTTCAGATTATTTATCGCGAATCGGAGGCGAGAAAGGGACACAGTTTATGTAAACAGAGCAAGGGGAAATTCACGACTTTGGCATCAAATGAACCATCAAACAAAAATTGAGAACATTATGAGAATTTTGTTCACTATTTTGAGATTTTAATTTTTGTCTGGAAATTTTCTTGTTGTTATTCTTCAGATTTGGGAGGTGGTTGTGATTATTTCGAAAATCGATGCAATTTGGGGGTGAGAATGAGAAGAAAACATTGAAAAGTCGGCAAACAGAAAAATGACGAGAATTTTGATCTGATTTTGTGAAGTTACCGGGTGAACTTGTTCTTTTTTTGGAAAAATTGGCAAAAGGAAGGTGAGTTAAGGACTTTGCGGGAAAATTTGGCAGGTTTTAAAAGCTAACCTCAATCCCTGTTTTAACACTCTCAACAAAACTTTTTTTAAACACATTCGCGACGGTTTTTTAGGCAGTCGCTTAGTCGTTAACTGTTTTACTGAGATTTTGGTGAAAATTCAAAGAAATACTAAACTATTGGGTTGGTGAATTGAATGATTGGTGGACTTTGAACTAAAATTTATTCAACATAAAGCCGTAAATTCATTCCAAATGATTTCCATTATTATTGACGACTTCTGCCCATTTTACAGGCAATTTGCGGATTCCTCTTTCCTAGTAGGATTTTGGTTTGTGTGTGAGACAAGTGTGAGACTCAAAAATGGAGGGCTGGAGATGTCCCAGTTTGAGCACTTTCTTCAAAAGAAACCCATTTTGGTGTCAATACAAAAGTTGTAGAGAATCAAAAATTAGGCTTATAGCCAAATTTCCTAAAAGATACACTCAGTAGTTTTGCTTAAAATGCAAGTTTTGTGAAAATTCGTAAATTTGGCATTTCTTGAAAACCAGTTTTTGAATCGTTCTGAAAATTTGGATATAAGCTTGATTTTTGCTTCTCTACAACTTTTCCATTCACGCCAACATGGGTTTCTTTTGAAGAAAGTGCTCAAACTGTCACATATGACAATAGCCGGCAGTTTTCAATTCACCAACCCAATATTATAGTGATTCGATAGCCCTGAATCTCCTCTTAAAAACTAGTACAAAATTATCGAGAATTTTCTGCAAAATGAATAACAAAAGTCCCTAAAAACGAGTTGAAACGAAAAATAATCGTTGTATGGATAAGTTGTATGGATTTGCTGGATTTGTTTTGAGCCAACGGTGGGCTTGATCGTCGTGAATGTCTTAAACAAACCTTATAGTTTTCCATATCCTTCACATCCATATCCTTTTGTACTTTTGATATAAAAATTTAATTCTTTATTCTTTCTTTATTGATATGTTGCATAGGGATTTGTTGTTGCATATGGATTTGTGTTTGATGCATAGACGGAAGATGATTGTCGTTGAAGATGAGAGTGCAGATCGTTGAAGTATCTTCGACATCTGAATAAAGTTCGAGAATGAGTTTCTGAGTGATTGACTCAATAGTCATTTATATTTAAAACCTACTTGATCACGACAAAAAGGGCGATGATGGCGATGACGAGGAAGAGACAATTAATGCCGAGAACCGTCCCGAAGAACCAACCTGGAGATTTTCAAGTGAATCAAGTTGTTTCCACCGAAAAGTTCTTGTCTTTATGTCTTTATGTGTTTCAATCAAGACTTTCGGTCTTTTGCACTATTTTGTACAAATTTCGGTTAACCAACCACCATTTTGACCCGTTTTGACCCGTTATTTGTACTTTTACTTCAACGCAACGGGTTACTTTGGGGTAATTCAATAATGGGGTTAAAATGCGAAAGGATTTGAGGGAAATGGACTAAGATTTGTTTGAAACAGGCGATAATTCAACTGATTTCAACAAAGCGATAATTCAACTGATTTAACAGTGTGAAGATGAACAAATTGACAATATATAACAAGCTTGGGGAAGAAAAAGGTATTCAGGCGAGACAAGCAAAGTGATTAGTAGTTCAACGAAATTAGTTCTTTTTCCGTTGTTGTTTCATGTTTTTTTTTACTTTGGGACTACTTTTAGATCTAAATTTGTAATCTTAAATGGAAATCGAAGCCGTGATGCTAACTGGCTAACTACTGTAGGTAGTTAGCCATTTATCCGACTTCCATACTGTAAGTAGTTAGCCTAATGTAAGTAGTAAAAGTACTGTAGGTAGTTAGCCAGTCCGAAGGCTAACTACTGTAAGTCAATTCATCAACTAATTCTTTGGCAAACCGGGATTCTGATGAATCCATTCTTCGACCTCTTCTTCTTCTACTTCTTCCGATGAGGTCATTGTGACATTTTTTTTTGAGAATCTAAAAGATTAGATTGAAAATTTTGGAAAACTCAGAAATCGCTCACAAATTTCTCTTCTCTTTGTCATCTAAAATGTTGAAAAATTTGTCCAAAACGTAGGTGACAATGAAAACCAAATAGCCGACCACTTTGACAACCTTGGATTTGAGTAAAATTCGAATCTTGTAGAGAATCTTGTAGAGAATCTTCTTTCAAACCTGTACAACCAAATACGGGACCAAAAATGATTGTCGTTCGGCGATCAATCCACACAAAAGCATTGTCAATGCGAAAGTCATCATGATCACCTCGGTGAACTGAACTTTTCGAGGTGAAGTCTCAACTCTGCAACTTTCCATCGAACTTACATCAATCGAATGCATAAAAGTGAAATGACCGAATTTCGTTTGTTGATAATTGCTTCGGAAGAGTTGCCATATCAGCGAAATCACGCCCAATCCCAAGATGATCCACGTGGCTGTCTAGAAATACGCTTAAGCATTTTGTAAAGCTCAAGCCAAAGCTGAATATTCTGTCTTTATCAACCTTTATATGCAGAAATCCACAAAATAGCCGATACTTTTCCCTATCATGTCGGTAATCTCCCATCTCAGTTTGAGTTGATTCTCTACAATAATTTGCATTGATTTTAGCAACTGGTAATAGAAAAACATTGTGTGAATGAGATTTGAAAGAATCTAGTTTTAAACAAAGGCAATTATTCACTATAGTCATGAGAATGAGAGGATTTCAAAGGGTCTAAAGAGTCTAAAGTTTCGGAAATCGTTGTGGAGACAAAGACAAGTAACAAAAAGAAAAAGCAGTAAACAAATGAGGTTTATTTTCAAATTATTTACCTTTATTTACCTAAATTAGCAAAATAAGTCAAAGTTCTCTACCATTTAAAGAAGAAAATCAATCAAAACAAGCTCTCGACTCAACAGAAATGATAATTCTCCTCCTTGAGACAAAGCTTTCCCAAAAACAAAAAGGAAATGATGATTTGGGTGAAAATTGGGGAAACATTTTCAGTGGTTTCACCAATGTGAACATTTCTTTTTTCCTTTTCTCTCTTGCTCTTTTTACTTGTTTTCCACAATTCACAAGTGTGCAAATTTTTGTTGAAATCTTTTTTTTTTTGAAAAGCGCGTATTTCCAGAAAAAAAACGACAAAATCCGATCGTTTTTTTCAGATTTTCTCCTTTGAACTTTTCACTTCTCGGCAAGGAAAACCGGTTTCAGTTAACTAAACCAAAAATACGAGCTCAAGGTGAAATCGAGTAGAATTTAGAGGATTTTATGGCTAAAATGACAGCTTAGATAATGATAGAATTGATAGAAATTCTTTCAACTCTTATATTTTAGATCTTTTTTCATTTAACTATCCCAAAATCTTGTTGATTTCTTTAAAAAATCATAAACAAAACTAGATCTCAAAGTATAGGGCAATTGTAAAATGAACGAGAAAAACTTGCAGACAAAACAGTGAAGAAAAACAACAACAAGGGCTACGCGACTGTATGAGAGGGTGGCGTACTATTACAGTATTTACGGTAGTTAGAAAGAAATGTACCTCTTTTTTAACCGTATCCTCAGCAACAAGGGCAATTGTAAAATCAACGAGAAAAACTTGCAGACAAAACAGTGAAGAAAAACAACAACAAATCAGCCATTTAAGGTCGAAAAACAAATGATTTCCAAGGAAAATACGTGTAAAAAAGAGATTTTCTAAAAGACTTTGAAGGATTTGTTTATTTGTCTGATCTGGGTTTCGTGGAAAAATTACTGACAAAAGAACTGAAACTTATGGGTATAAAAGGACAAGAGTTGATAGAAATCTGAAAATCTGCTGAAAATGAAATTTCTGATTTATTTTGGTGTCTTTTTCGTGTTCACTTTTGGTTTAGACAAAGAAGCTGCTGAGGATACGGCTAAAGAAGAGGTACGTTTCTTGCTAACTAAGTAGATTTACAAAAGAATGTCAAAGAATGTAAAAGAATGTCAAAGAATGTTTTCCTGCAAACCTTACTACTGTATTTTCTCTAATAGTAGTGCACCGCACCGAGCCGAGTTGATGCCTATTTTACGGTTTCCAATTTTTCCCAGAAGCTCAACACTTTAATCCCCCACAAGATCTGATCGTCAGCTACATTTTCCGACCCCACATCGATAGGTTCTGATAAGCGGTTTTTGAGATTTCGAGTAATTTAGATGACGATCACGGTGCACTACTATTAGAGAAAATACGGTATACAAAATCTTCTAAATTTTTGTAAAGAATGTGAACTGTTTGAATACAAGCTGTGCCCGAGACAACAAAGAGTTTTTGATGGTGCTTAAGGTAAAGGAAAACAATCTTGTCTACTGGTTTGTCATTCATTTTTCTTTTTCTTTAGATTTTCAATGGTGAAAGACGAAGCTTTTAAAGTCTGATATTTTCAATGATTTAGGTAAAAGACAAAGCTATCGATGCCCTTCACGAATCTCGTCCGAAGAATGAGAAAATAAGAGTTTGCACATGCAAGGTAAGAGAACTAAGAATCAAGAAACAGAATCATGACAAGCACGAAGACAAGCATCAAGACAAGCATCAAGAAAAGCATCAAGACAAGCACTAACTCTTCTTCTTTACAGGAATTGGATCAATGCATTGACAAAGCTCGAAAACAAGCCAATCAATGTTTTACTCCATGTTACAACGAATTCGCGAAGCTGAAACTTTTAGAGAAACCCGAGCTCCTTAAAAGCTGCCTTTTAAAGAAAGAAAAACTTCTAGATCAAGTGCTTCCTTGTATGAAAGAAAATTTGGATGCGTAAGTTTGATAAATAATTTCAAAACTTTCAAAATTTAGCTGTTCTGCGAAAAAGAGTTCCGAGAAGGCACCAAATATTGATTTGGACACTTTCCTTTCCAAGTGAGCTCTTTGTGCAACAATTAGACTTGGATAAGAATCTATAGGAAAGTTAGGAATGAACTTGTCAGTACTTTAGTAGTAGTCAAGGGTTATCGAAGATCTGATACCCCTATTGACAATCTAAATTTGAGCTCAAATTTCTTGGTGTTGGGGTTTTTAATTGAAATATTCTTGATATCATTAGATGCAAGTCTTTCTGTCGATTGGTATCAAAAGTATTTAAATTGAACATCCCAAGGCCAAGATATTTGAGCTTAAAGTTAGTACAATGTCCCACAATCAGTTGAAGAACAAGTTCTGGACACGAAAACTTTCAGAGTGGAAGAAGATGTTGATCATCGAGCACAGACAATTCTTCGAGCAATTAAATCAAAGGATATTGATGTGATTTCACATTGGCTATATTGTAAATCAAAAAATTATAGAAACTAGCCACCGCCACGAAATCTTATTTCATGTGTTTCAAGAATTGTTTCATGAATGTAAAGAATGCAGACGGATTTTGTCATGAACAAATTGGGTTAGTCTCAACTTTGATTTCAATTCTACATTCATTTAGATGCACTCTCGATATCACGGACAAAGCCGCCAACAAAACGATTGATGTTTGTGGATCGAAAATCGATTGGGCTAAAGAGCTCGGTGATGTGTGCACGTGTGCTGAGAAAGCGGGAATTAGGTGAGAAAAGGAAATGAGAATTCCACTGAGTCAGCAGCTTGAAATAACTCAAAGATCTTATTCTAATGTTAGTCAAACAAGTCAAGAGTCAAACAAGAACAAGTGATTGAGAGCCTTATTGCGAAATTCCAGTGTTCTCCACGATTACTGTGGAATGCTTGATGAGTTCTCGGACTAATCCTTCAAATTTGTTTCCGTTTAGATCAGAAAATAAATTTTATTCTTTAAATGGCACAATTTTTATTTCATTTCACAACAACGTCAATAAAAATACCGGTAGAATCTCGAAAACTAGAAAAGGATCACAATTTGAGTAAAGAAAAGTAAAGAACTAAACAACAAGACAATAAGATAAATAAAGCTGAAGATAAGGTGAAGTTTAGCTTGTACTTTGTGCTCACTTAATCGCAACTCTATGGCACAATGATTTCTATCTATCTTTAGATAGAAATCTATCTATTCTGTCTATTCTATCTATCTACCGTAATAATTCTAATAGAAGACCAGTCTCTAATAGAAGTCCACCCCCTGACCCCTTGAAATCGGGACTTTTTAAAACTTCTTTTTAAGTAGAATGATAGATTTCGGTCCAGATAGTAATATTTTAGCCCCGGCAGTTAAATTGGAGACGTAGTTTTTGAAAAATTAAAAAATAACTTTTTGGAAAAAATTTTATGTGGTCCCCCACATGGATTTTTTTTTTGAAAGATTTTCTATGGAGTCCGGGCAAGAAAATAATTTCACTTTTAGACATGTTTTTGGCATGTTTTGGGCCAAGGGCTATCGTTTGAAATAGTTTTTAACAATTTTTAATTTTTTGATTTATGTAGGGGACCCTTACCTACTTTTTTGACCGATCAATTTTGGGGGGTTGAAAATTAGAAGACCATGGTCTTCTATTAGAATTATTACGGTATTTCTATCTTTAGAAAGAATCCAGTTTGCCAGAAAGCTCAAAAGTACACTAACTTCTATGCAAATCTAAAACGATTCAGATCTAACAATTCTAAGACATTTATTTTAATTATTAACTTAATTATTAGGCTCATCAATACTTTTCTCATTCCCCTATTGATTCAACTTTGTTTTATTTCTTCAATCAATTCCTCTTCTCCAACTACATCACAATTCTCGACGGCGTCTCTCATTGAATAATCATTGAGACCGAGATCGGCCAACGCTCCAATGCATTCCAAACACTTTACACGGACCTGAATATGATTTTAATTTGAAATCTAAATTGCGCTGAAGTTATCAAGCTAAAAGAAACCTCTCTCTTTTCACTATTCAACAACTCTCGACTGACGACTGTTGATGCAACTGTCAGATCATTTCGATAAAAGAGATCATCTACCTAGACTAATAAGATGATTTATACTGAAAAATTTCGAACTTCTTCTGGACTTGATGACAACAATTCTTTCAACAATGTTATTGATGGAAGACCGCCTTTTAGATTTGCAAAATCGATGAGATGTTGCCCGAAATTCGCATTTTTATTTGATCGGAGAGTGGTTAAGGCAAAGTCCTGAAAGGGAATTAATTTAAAATCAAATTTGGATACTTTAAACTCTAGATAAGAACTTGTTGACTAACCTTAACTTCTTGTGGAGTGTTTGCATAAATGTTTGTGAAGAGTTGCATTGCTGATTTGTCATCGTGGAGATTTGAGAGTTTCGAGAAGAAAACATCATTGAAACAGCCTGGATTAGAGATTCGATTCGCTCTACTTAATCTACAGGATCATCACAAAAATTTGAGTTGAAAAGTCTTTGTTTTATTGAACATCCTTACTCAAGTGATGCAATGGGAATTCTTGTCCACTCATCGCCATCATATCCAACAATTTGATGCACAGTGACTTCTCTTCTTTCGAGTATCTAGAGCTTGTGATGGCAGGAGCTAAACATTCAATGATTTACTTTGGAAACAGTAAAAAGCTACCTAAAACCATTGGAAGTTTTGTCTCAATCAAACAACAAATGACAGTTGGGAGAAATGAGGCCAAAGTAGACAATAAACGAATCGACGCCAATCTCACTTCTTGACTTTGATCCTGAAAAATAATCACTACTTCTGTTAGTATATTAGGATTACTATATCTCATAAAGTTAACTAGTTTCGTTAAAAGTTAACTAGCTTCCCTAGTTTCGTTAAAAGTTAACGAGTTTCCTAGTTTCTTTAAAAGTAAAAAAGAAGAAAAGTTGCTAGGGGAAGACTCGAACCCAAGGCGAAGGCACGCGGCCCGCCTTGGATCCGAGCCTCTTACCCACTGCGCCACCCCTTCACCCCCGCCCGGCGGGAGAGAAGCGTTCCAAGCGAGATCTCGCAAAACTCGCGCTTTTTGCAGCTGATTTTTGCACAATTGTGTCAATCAATATCAGTACTTTTTAAAACTCACCATAATATAAAGATTGTTGAGTTTATACAGAAATTCATAATCATTCACGGCGATCACCGCTTGTGGAATTCGGGATCCGTTTTCTCCGCAACGCTCGAGAAAGTATTGAGATCATCAATGTATGCATCATCTTGTTGTGAGATCGAGTAGCTCAGCTAAATCACTTTTCAATCGATCTAAAATCAAAACCCTTCTCTCAAACAAACCTCAGCCTTTTCCGATAACCAATCATCTAATCGTTCCCTCAAAGTTCCCAATAATCTCGCATCAAAGCACTCCAACAAGTTCGGTTGAAAGTTGACTAGAATTCCGGAGACTTTTCGAAGAACATCATCACTGAAATTGGATTTTAGATGAAATAGTTTTATTGTTAATACTTTGTATGTTGAAGAAGAGTCTCAAAAACGATTCTCGCTGTCTTCACACAGTCTGATAATGGGGCTTGTGTGCCGGCTCGGACTAAACATTCAATTACACTTCAAAAGATTTTCTTCTATTATATCATTGGCTTATTTTGAAGTTTATCCACTCACCCGTATCCACAACATCTGCAGCTAATTTCTCTGGATCGAGAATCGTTTCATACATAAGATTCTAAAAAGTTTAAGAGTTAAAAGTCAAAAACAAAAGTTATATAAAAGTGATTGATGCATGAAAAAAGTGTCCTTTTTGTTGTTTCTTCGAAAAAGAGTGAGCACATCTAATCTGATTGTCAAAAAGATGAGAGAAGGAAAGGAAACTTGAAGAGGAAAAGAGAAAGAGAGACTGTCAAGAGGATGGGAGTGTTGTTCATTGTGATTTGAAGAAAATGAATCCAAATGGCTCAATGGAAGGCAGGTAACAGAGCAAAGAAGAAATTCTTAAAAACAAGCATTTCCTGGCTCTGATTGCCAGATTTAAGTAGTAAAGTAGTAAAGTTGGCTGGATTTTCTAGAAGCACAGCTTTTTGGAAAATGTTAGGAAAACAGAGATGAGTCAAAACACCTAGTTAACATTGTGGATTCAAGAGAAATCACGTGCCCAGAAATTTCCTAGTAAAGTCTATTTCTTCAAATTCGCCCTAACTTTCATTCGGTTCAGTTCATTCAGTTCACCTTTGCAAAAGAAAATGTCTGGTGTTCTTAGTGATGCGCGTACCATACCGGATACTCATCGTGGAAACCACCACATTCACTCTCGGAGACATTAATTTGGTCAAGGTTCTTGAAGAACGGAAAGACCAACTCAAATGCTCCTATCGGGTATCGAACCCGGGTCGTGCGGCCGAGAAACCGATGTGTTATCCGCTCGACCAAATTGTAACTGGACGGAGAGGGTTGAGAGGGACTCTTTATGAAAGAAAAGCTCAGAGATTGAGCCAAAGGAGTATGTAAAACTTCTATTGAAAGCTAAAAACTAAAAATATCTAACTTTTCGAATAAATTTTTATTAGTTTAGTCAAGGAATGGACACTTTATTCATCCTAGTATCTCTTATTCTTATTCTTCCCTTATTCTTCTGTTTATTGCTCAAATATTCAGTTTATTGAAGAAGTTTAGCTTTTTTTATGTCATTGAAAGTCATTATTGCTTTTTTTATCTTATTGAGTGTCATTCTATTGCTTTAAGATACAATCTATAGAAAAATCTCGAACTTTATGCTCATTCAGAGGCTGATTTGTTTTCAAGAAAGTGAAACGAACTTCTTGCACAATACATAAGAAAATACTTAAGTAACGGCAAATCCAAATCCCTTGTTTCCATTCATTTCTTCTCTAATCTCTTTTCGGATCTCCCAGGCTAGTTTCAAGTTTCTTTCTTATTTCATTGACGTTTTCCATGTGGAAGATCGAAAATTTCGATCTAAACCACACGAAATCCAATGTTTCAGTGTACAACACTTTCGGGACATTCGGTGGATCGATTAACCGAAAAAAGTGACAATTCCTAGACTCAATCCTTTTCTTTTACCTTCTCCACCACTCTTTTTATGGAAAAGAGAAGAGGGAAATCGAACGGAGAAAGAACTTCTCGTGGTACATACGGAAAGCGACAATAAAGGAAGGCTTCAAATGATACCGATTCCGACGAGACGAGTCATCCTTGTCGCTGCAGTCAGGTGGGTACAAGATTTTCAATTTGAAAAGGTGAAATCAAAATTAACACTTACCTGAAGACAGAGTTTTCCATTTAAGAACTCTTTCAGTTTGATTCTTTCCGTGTTCTTGATCGCCCGTCCATTCTATACAAAACCACCAAAAAGTCTTAAAGGATTGAAGTTTGTTTGATTATCCGTTTAGTCCAAATGGTCCAGATGGTTTAATCCAAAGTTTAGTCCAAATGGGAGATCCCTTCCACCGGATAGTCTTGAAGATCTCCCACTTCCAGCTGATTACATGATGACAGATGAAGAGATGTTGCCAGAGAAATTCTTAAATGATGAATATGAGAATCCGGAGATCAATCATTTAATTCGTAAGATGTAAGAGCTTAAAGTTCAAAGCAAAATTTTGATTTTCTATTAGCATTGAGGGGATCCCTCTTCCACACGATTATCCAATGCCCGAGGAAGTGATTCCACAAGAGAGAATTTCAAACGACTATATAGAAACGGAAGACTTTGTAGGTTTTAAAAATTTGTTTAAAGTTATGAAAAACTAGGAGAAGAGAGAAATATCTCATCTATATTATGTTCCTGAGTCAAATTTCGATGAGAAGTTCACCGAGACACTCGTTGGATCGACATGTGAACAAGTGAGTGAAAACTTTGCACAGTTTTAGCTAGTTAAAAGATAACTAGTTTTACTAGATCTGGAACAATTGGACGACAATTGCTCAATCACAGACTCCAGAGATCCCACTTGTAGAGCCGCCAAGGGAGAGATTAGCTGAGTTTACGCTTTATGGAAGAATCCCGCTCAAGCAAGAGTAAGCTTTATGAAGATTTTTCTTGACTGAATATTTCTAGATATGTAAACGAGAAATCGGTGCCGATAAAGATGCTCTGGGATGATATCGATGCACAAATGATGATGACAAGAGATGAAGTGATTCAAAGAGCGCATCATGTTGGATATGGGGGTGAGGCTTGAATAGATAAAATAGAATAGGTAAAATCGATTAATTTATAGAGAATATATAATAAAACAGCTAAAAAAGCTAAAAATTTGAGATATTGTCTACGAGGCGATGGATCGATTCCATTCATTCATTCAGAATAAGAGTGGCGCCGTTTTTGGAGCCACGAATCCATGGGTGAGTTTGAATTACAGTTCTTGTACATAAACGTGTTATTAACTTTATACGTTAATTGTTTTAAATGCAAATTTTACTTCTAGATAGAAGTTTTTGCTTTGAGACACGGCGCCACTTCTGTTTTGACGGTGGAGCAACAGGAGATCGAGGAAAAGGTGAGAGAATGATCCACAAGATTACGCAGGATATTCTTTCAAGGCTTTCAAAGTTAATTCAAGATTATAATTAGCTATCAAAATTTTCAGACTTCTCAGAATCTTTCCTACATTCATCCACGCGATTTGGCGAATCAATGGGCAAAGTGGGTTTTTGGGAATGCATAGGAATGGATCGGAATGGATAGGAATGGATAGGAATGGATAGGAATGGATATGAATGGATTGGAATGGATTGGAAGGGCTTGGCCTAACTAAAAACCTTTCAGTTATTCGGAGACTTTCGACTTTATCGCCTCATTTTCTTCGATTCAACACGCTGGTCTTGGAAGGTTAGTTTCAATTAAAGTATTGACTAAATGTTTGCCTTAATTCGAAGAAGATCTAACAATCCAATCTCAATCCAATTCCAGATTCGGTGATCCACTCGATCCATGGGGTGATCTCCGGGAAATCACCAAGATGAGATGTTTATTGAAAGAGGGAGGAATTGTCATACTTGGATTGCCAATTGGTTTGTCTAAATATAAATCCTGAAAAGTCCAGCCTACAAGATCAAATCTTCGCTTCAGGTGTTGATGAGCTTTATTGGAACGCTCGGAGAGTTTATGGAACAGTTCGATTACCCTGGATTTTGAGAGGTAAGAGACACCAAATTTACTTGTAGATTGCAGTTCTTAAAAATCAAATTATCTCTAGGCTTCAAAATCCTCGGTGTCGTCTACACAGAAGAGAATGAGAATGGAGATAAAGAAACGATTTTCACATCGGGAATTCCCTTGAGTTTTGTATTGAATGACACTGATGAAAGAAAAACAAATCATCCATCAAAACAACATCCAGCTTTGATTCTACAAAAAGTTGAGAACTCTACGAAGAATTGATTGTTTATAGGAATAAAAGTTGTACAGTTTATGCAACATTCAATCGAAAAGAACTTTGAACATTTAAAGTTGAGGTTGAAGAGAAAGGCACAAAGAATAATTTGTGTCACACGGAAATTTTCGAGACTCATTGAACGTCATAGTTTTCTTTTCGAAATCGGACTAAACTGGGACATTTTTCGTATGATTGTGTGACCGGTAAGTGCTATATTTCGAAGTAACCATAAAGTTACCATTCATGACAACTTAGCTGCCAATTTTCTTCATGGTTCATAGCCTCTCGAATTTTGTTTAAAGTGAGTACTCGTACCGTAAATACTGTAATTGTACCCCACCCCTCTAATAGTGTCCCACCCTAGAGGGGGAGAGAAAAAATAGTACCCCATGGAGTCCAATTACAGTATTTACGGTAAGTTTTATATTTGATTGTAATACTGGAATGTAATCGGTTGTATGCTTTGTATCCTCTTCATTAAAAGCTTTTTAAAAAGTGGAAAAGCTACCGAAGCTCTAGACAAAGCTTATCAGAGATCGCCCGCTTGCTTAAAGAGTACTGTAGCTTTTCTGGAGTCACCTTTTAGAAAACACCTTTTTCAACATCACACAATATTCATTGTGCTTTTTTTGATTGAAAAAAGCTAAACTGATTTTTGAGTGAGTGTCATACTCTCGTATCCAATGAAACATTTCTTCAGTGACCATTTGTTTTTTGATCATTTATTCCGTAAAACTAGGTGATTAAAGTTTAATGGATCAGTAAGAAAAGGAAAAAGAAAAGATTGGGTATGAAATGGTCCGAAATGAAATAAAATGAAATCCAATTCATCGCATCGATTTCCTTCGTAAAATTGGTTATCCCATTTAGCACGTGTTTGGAGAAAAAGAGGGGAAAAGAGGAAACTTTCGAATCAAGAAATCATTCATTTCATCAACTAATGGATATTCAATAGCTTTATATCAGACAATGATTATTTTTCTCTATTTGTTTAATTCAACATATCAGGCTTATGTGCCAATTTTCGTTGATATGGAGATGGTTTCGGTGAGTGAGAAAGAGCTTCTTGGCAACTAAAGCTTTATAAAGAAGTGTAGATAGGGTTGGTAATGAAATGATTTCAGGAATACACTGTCCTTTGTCGTATCTGGGAAGTTGTTCGTATCATTGAAGCTCTCTCGATTTTTATCTCTTTCATAATCTATCTTCCATTCTTCAAAATCCTTCACACATCCGGTCGATTTCACATCAATTTGCGTCGAATCTTCGAATTTGTCTCTCTTCATTTATTTTTCAATCAACTTCTCCGACTCGTTCTTTTATTTTATGAAGGTCAAGCTGTTCTCGGGGATGGTTTGTTCTTAATTTAAATCGTTAATCATTTCTTTTAGCTGTAACCTTTTGTGATACAGTGATATTTATTATTGGTTTGATTCGTTGTTATACATTGCTCTTTCTCGCCTCAATTGTGCCTTTGATCACTCTGGAAAGGTGAGTCAAATAATTTGCTTTAGCTTTTGGTTTTCGATATGTTTATAGACATTTAGAGCGCCTAAAGATTGGATTTAGTGTCCTAAAAAATAAAAACGTTGACAGAGGGAAGAACCAGGGGGAAGTAGCGCCGAGGATACTATCCACCAGGCCATCCGGTTACTTTGGGCTAGCTATCTCGCGGTGGTTCACAATTTTGAGCGAAACTTGTCAACAAAACCTTTGGCCAAAGAGATCTCTTCAGACCCTTGAACCAATTCCAGACTCATGGCCACGATCTACCTCTGGGACTATGAAAAGTCGCCTCGCACCTATATCTCTCTTTCAATAATGCTAAGCTCAGTTCTCATCTTTCTCACACTCTCCACCTTCAGTTGCATTGGTTTGTTAAAATCCAAGAAAAGCAAGAAACAAAAGCACAAAACATAATCTAACTGTAATCTGATGTAATCGTAAACTAATCGTAATCGTAACCACAAACTCTAACAAAGCTTAAAATACTTGCATCATTGACTCTAATCAGATTGGAAACACTGAGGACATACCCCAGTTCTTGGAATTACGTCATCACAAAGAGCGATCTGTAATGTTTTATTTAGCGGTTGCCTATGATATGTTGAGAACAGTGATCGGTGTCGTGATCTCATTATTGGGCGCTATTTTATTGTCGGGAATGGTGAGTGGAATGAGGGGAAATATGGGGAAAAAAGAAGTTTCGAGTACATTTTGAAAGAAAGGGGATGGAAATGTGGAAATTGGGAAAGGAACTCACGGTCCGCGAGGTCTAAAGTCCATTCAGTTGGTCAATAACATAGGAAAACACAGTATAATTGTATTTTGTCCTGAAAGTCTCGTTTCTTTCCGTACTTTCGTTTAAAGTACAGCCAATTGAAATGTTTGACAATTGTCAAATCTTTTTCCTTTCTTTTTCAGCTTTGTGCCTTCTTATTCACCTATAATTCAAAAGTGTTAAAATGGTTGGATCGAGTCCAACAACATGAACGAGTCGAGAGTTTAACTCCCCGTTTCGGTCATCGGCCTTACGATTTATCCGTTCGATATCAAATCAAAGAGAATATGCGAGTGTTTGTGGTGAGTAGGCAAGAAAACTTTCCAACTTAAACTTTCAAGATTCCATATCAGAAGCCCATCTCCCATTCAGATTCTCCGTCGCTTTCTCATCATCACCATCATAAGTGAAACATTTGGTTCAATCACTGGCGGCATTGCTTTCACAGCATTTGAATCCGATTCGATAATCGGTCAAGTGATGATGATTGGAGTGGATTTGATGTTAACTTTGTTAGTGTTAGAAGCTATGCCGAAAATTTGAAAACTATCAAGATATTCTGAGACTTTCAATCAACGAATCTCTAGATCATTCACCACATTTCCCTTTGGAGTGTTATGGATTGTGAAAGAATGGCGGGAGAAATACGATCAATGGTGGAGGCATTTATTCAGGACAAAGTAAGAGATTTCATTTTGATAATGTACCTTAACGCAATGGAAAATCAAGTCTTATCTAAAAACATTTTCATTCATTTCATTCAGCAAATCGGTGAGTGTCGCCTCATCATTGATCATTCCGAGTATCGATTATGCGGGAGATACGAACAAATATTTTGATTATTATAGGCAAAATTGGTGATAAATATTTGAATATTTGCATAAGTTTGGGAAAAATTAAATTCTTCTACTCAAACGAGGTTTAATATGAGCTTGATGTCGATCTAAAGCTCTTGAATTTGAATGAGAAGCGACTTTCAGATGCCCAACTGATCCTTTTCTAAAAACTTTTAATTTGAAAATTTCTAGTTTTGAATTTTACTTGAAAATTCTTTTGATTCCTTTCAAAATATAGACTCGATATGGTTCAGTGAAAGCAAAAATCAAAATCGATGACAGATTGGCGTGGCTGCTGACAAGAATAGCACTTCCATTTAGCCATAGGGGTTTTTTTTCCTTTTTTTGCCCCTTTGGAAACCCTTTTTGAAAACAAATATTAAAATAAAATAACCCTTTTTTGAAACCGTTGTTGAACCGTTGTGAACCATGGGAGGCATTTTTGGAACCTGCTTTGGTCGACAATTTTCCCTGTTGTTGCTAAAAATACAAACAAGGCCAATGGGCCAGTTACAGAGAAAAATGGGATCATTATCTGGAAACAATCGAGTTTATTTGTTCTTTTTTGTTAAACGCACCTGCACAAACAAAGAATAGATGAGCTTTTTATGTAATTGTTTTGTCTTTGCACTCATATGAATCAATGGACTTTCAAGGAGATAAATTGAGTGAATCACGATGGAAATTGACTAAAGAATTTGATTGATGTGTGGAAATAAAGAACTCACAAATAATAGCCATTCTGTTGCAAAAACAGGGATAATAATTTCAAGTGCAAGTACTGAAGAGAAATTGAGAATTGGTGGAAAGATTGGTTGATTAATATAAGCAATCCAGGCATTGCCGTCAGTTCCGAGGAATGAGTATTCTGGATAATCCTAGAGTTGAACGATAGACTACAGTGCTTGTTCAGTTTTGCCCTCTACTCTTAATGTTCTAAATACTAATACTTCTTCTTTGTGGATCAGTTCTTTTTGAGTATTTACTTCCAACAATTTCTCCAATCCTTGTGCATTTGGTGGGTGTTCAAGCGGTAATCGAAGAATACATATAAAAAAAATAAATAGAAAAAGAAAATAATGAAAAGCTAAATGAGGACCCAATTGTGCAATGAAAATCTGAAAGAAAAGTTCATTTAAACAAAAGAATAAAGAAATCTTCGGATGAATACCTCAACCAATGATCTTTCGGTAACACCAATCGATGTCGATAAATAAAGCATTGAACTGTGGCTAGGAGCCCATTCAAAAACAAGAACAGTCCAATTCCCTGAAATTACCTTCTTATTGATTGCTTTGATTCACTCACAAATAGTATTGTCACATGGATATGAAATATCTCATATAAAAATCCATACATTCGACAGCTGAGAGCCGGAAAATAGACTTCGACTGTCACAAAGTGGAGAAGTAGTTCAAAAAGAGTTGAAGAGATCTGAAATAGCCTTTTTTTCCATAATAAAGATTCCCAAAGCACTTACTTGATAAAACAAAATGAAGTATCGATAATTTTTCATCGTTTTCGGTGAAACCCAAACGATTAAGTAGATGGCGAAAAAATTGATCGATCCACCGAAAATTCCAGTGATATTCATGGCGCAGATATAAAGGAATGGATATTCATGAACAGTTTTGTCCACCATTCCGAAAGAAATCGATGACTGAGATTAAAAGTAGAGCCGAGAAGTCTAAGGAGAAAGTTTGTACGGCGAATCGAAATGAAATGAAGACAGGTGATCAGCAGATGCTATTTGAAAAGGCAGATTTTCGAATTTTTTTCGACTATCCACTTTTGGGAACAATTTGGCGACAGTGCTATAGGAATGTGAAATTGAAATTGACATGCCCAATCCAGCTTCAATACCATTACTGTCGCTGTTGATTGCTTGAAAGGCTTTATTCTACACTTCGTATGTACAATAGAATCTTTTCTTGCACAGTAAATCAGACTTTATCTTTGAGTTGTAAGGACAGGAAGCCAGCTTTTCGCAAAACAAACAATAGTCAGTAAGACCTTAAAAGTGTGTGGTACTTCTGGCTATATCCTGTTGATAGTTTATTAATCGCGGCCGGGGGGCCGTAAAACTTTTTACGGCAACCACCTGTTTTTTTATTTTTGATATCGCTGATTTTATTATAAAGAATAAAATCACCCGGCTAGAGTGGGATTTGATGGGTTTACAAATTTTTGAGACGCTGTAGGCTCACATAGTTCATCTACAAGGTGAGTGCGGAAGCAAAGCAAAGTCAGGCATTTTTTTTTGTTTTTGTTTTCTTTTAGACTTTCGATCTACACTTTTGTTTTTAGCATCTCTAGATGCCTTTTTCCAAATGAAAATTTTATGTTTAGATAATGCAAAAGGCCATCAAAACACTCTAGCTATCCATTAGAGTGTGTTCCTCTCGAGTAATGCGTTTTCTAAAAGACACCTATTTGAGAAAACTACCGTAGTCAAACCCCAATTTTCATTCAGTTAGCCCAATTTTTTGTATGACCTGGAGGAGGAATTAAAAGGCTCGGTCAATGATACCAAAAATCTGGCTGATCGAACGCAAACTAACGGTTTGACTACGGTAATTTTCCAAATAAGTGCCTATCTATTGATTGCTTTTTTTGCAAGCTTATTTCCTTTGCTATTTTATTATACGATCATAAATATATTTTTAGGATTTCTAAAGACAAAATGGAGGCGGGAAGAAGAGCTAATCGGAAAAGCCAGCATTTGTTATTGAATTCGCTCGGATGGAGAAACTATCTACAAAGATGCCTAGATGAGAAAACTTCCCGAGCGGTCAAAAACAAGAAATCTTTGAGCGTTTTCGGAAGGGGCCATTGGAATTGCAATGGATGGCCAATTCGATCTTCAGGATATTCAGCGGAATTTTGTGCTGTTACGGCTATCGAAATCGAAACCAAGCAAGAGTAATAGATTTTGGCGGTTGTTCACAAAGTGAACTGGAAACAAAAAGCGGTGCAATGGAATTAGACGGAGTGAAACGGTCAATTTGTTTCATCGAGGCAAAGGCGGATATTGCTAGTATCACAACAGATAAAATAATCAGATTGTATCTTACCTCTAAAAACGCGAAATTCAAGGTCTATTTTGATCCTTGGCACCGATTGATTTCATTGAAGAAAGAGTGTATGGCAACGAGAAAATTAAAAGGATCAAGAGAAAAGCAATGAGAGACTTATCACGTCGTTTTGCACATTGCTGCCAAAGCCGTTAGAACTATTTGAAGCTAATCCGGAAACAATGTGTGGTGCGTTTTCATTTTCCATGGGATCCGGGTGATTCACAACTGCGAATGACTCACGCTAAACTTCTTGTTTATCCCCTGAGATAAAAATGGGGTACAAAATTCAAAACACGGAAAATTTTATCGCAACGAGCAGAGTGCTCACACCCCTTGAACTATCAATCTTCTCATGACCCAATTCTTTCCACTTCTACGATATATTCAATGCTTTCTGGAAATTGCGGGCAAAGACTTGCTTCATAAGCGACTTTGAACGAATGAGGATTAATTAAGATACATCCTATGTTGAAACTTCATCACCCATCAAGTATCGTCCGAAAAGAAAAAGCTGATTTTGTCTGAAAAGGATTTGAATATCGGACTATGCTGGCAGTTTTGGATCATAATACAAAGATAAAACATTGTATGAATGGGATTTGAAAGGATCTGCTTTTAAACAAACGCAATTATTCACTATAGCCATGAGAATGAGAGGATTTGGAAGGGTCTAAAGTTTCGGAAATCTTTTTGGAGACAAAGAAAAGTAACAAAAGAAAAAGCAGTAAACAAATTAAGTTTATTTTGAAACGATTTACCTTTATTTACCTAAATTAGCAAAATAAGTCAAGTTCTCTACCATTCAAAGAAGAAAATCAATGAAAACAAGCTCTCGACTCAACAGAAATGATAATTCTCCTCCTTGAGACAAAGCTTTCCCAAAAACAAAAAGGAAATGATGATTTGGGTGAAAATTGGGGAAACGTTTTCAGTGGTTTCACCAAAGTGAACATTTCTTTTTTCCTTTTTTCTCTCTTGATCTTTTTACTTGTTTTCCACAATTCACAAGTGTGCAAATTTTTGTTGAAATCTTTTTTTTTTAAAAGCGCGTATTTCCAGAAAAAAAAACGACAATCCGATCCGTTTTTCAGATTTTCTCCTTTGAACTTTTCACTTCTCGGCAAGGAAAACCGGTTTGAGATAACTAAACCAAAAATACGAGCTCAAGGTGAAATCGAGTAGAATTTAGAGGATTTTATGGCTGAATGACAGCTTAGGTAATGGAAAAAGAATGGTAGGAATTCTTTTAACTCTCTATATTTTCGATCTTTTTTTCATTTAACTATCCCAAAATCGTTGTTGATTTCTTTTAAATCAGATCATAAACAAAGGCTTGGATCAAAGATATAGGGCATGTAAAATGAACGAGAAAAACTTGCCAGACAAAACAGTCCTGAAGAAAATCCTGGTGCGCAAAAAAGGGCTAATTGACTGTATGAAGGATAATGGCGATAGTACTTTCAAATCTTAGATTTCAGATTATTTACCCAAATACCCAAAATCCCAAAACTCTATTAAAATAAAAACATAAACAAAACTAGATCTCAAAGTATAGGGCAATGGTAAAATGAGCGAAAAAAACTTGCAGACAAAACAGTGAAGAAAAACAACAACAAATCAGCCATTTAAGGTCGAAAAACAAATGATTTCCAAGGAAAATACGTGTAAAAAAAGAGATTCTCTAAAAGAATTTGAAGGTTTTGTTTATTTGTCTGATCTGGGTTTCGTGGAAAAATTGCTGACAAAAGAACTGAAACTTTTGGGTATAAAAGGACAAGAGTTGATAGAAATCTGAAAATCTGCTGAAAATGAAATTTCTGATTTATTTTGGTGCCTTTTTCGTGCTCGCTTTTGCTCTAAACAAAGAAGCTGCTGAGGATACGGTTAAAGAAGAGGTACATTTCTTTCTAACTACCGTAAATTACAAAGAATGTACCAAAAATCTCGTAAAGAATTTCAAGAATTGTTTTCCTTCAAAAACCTTACTACTGCATTTTTTCTAATGTATGAAAAACATAGCTGAAATTCAGGGCTATTTTATCGGTTTGCACTTTTCCCAAGCTAAACAGTGTAATCCCCGAGAAGATATGTTCGTTCAGCTAGACTAGGCCGACCCCGCACCGTTAGGGTTAGGGTAAGCGGTAATATTAAGATTTACGAGTAATTTAGATGACGATGTCAAAGAATGCCAAAGAATATCAAAGAATGTTTTCCGGTAAACATTACTATAAAAAATCTTCTAAATTTTTGTAAAGAATGTGAACTGTTTGAATACAAGCTGTGCCCGCGACAACAAAGAGTTTTTGATGGTGCTTAAGGTAAAGGAAAACAATCTTGTCCATTGGTTTGTCATTCATTTTTTCTTTTTCTTTAAATTTTCAGTCAAATGGTGAAAGACGAAGCTTTTAAAGTCTGAAATTTTCAATGATTTAGGTAAAAGACGAAGCTGTCAAGGCACTTCACGAATCTCGGCCAAAGAGTGAGAAAATAAGAGTTTGCACATGCAAGGTAAGAGTACTAAACCGTCATCAAGACAAGCACTAACTCTTCTTTTTTACAGGAATTGGATCAATGCATTGACAAAGCTCGAAAACAAGCCAATCAATGTTTTACTCCATGTTACAACGAATTCGCGAAGCTGAAACTTTTAGAGAAACCCGAGCTCCTTAAAAGCTGCCTTTTAGAGAAAGAAAAACTTCTAGATCAAGTGATTCCTTGTATGAAAGAAAATTTGGATGCGTAAGTTTGATAAATGAATCAAAACTTTCAAAATTTAGCTGTTCTGAGAAAAAGAATTCCGAGAAGGCACCAAATATTGATTTGAACACTTTCCTTTCCAAGTGAGTTCTTTGTGCAAGAATTAGACTTGAATAAGAATCTATGGGAAAGTTAGGAATGAACTTGTCAGTACTTTAGTAGTAGCCAAGGGTTATCCAAGATTTGATACCCCTATTGACAATCTAACTTTGAGCTCAAATTTCTTGGTGTTGGGGTTTTTAATTGAAATATTTCTTGATATCATTAGATGCAAGTCTTTCTGTCGATTGGTATCAAAAGTATTTCAATTGAACATCCCAAGTCCAAGATATTTGAACAGCTTAAAGTTTTTTTGTTATTGGGGGTTTTCTTCCGATAACCCTTGTAGTTACAATGTCCCACAATCAGTACAAGTTCTGGACACGAAAACTTTCAGAGTGGAAGAAGATGTTGATCATCGAGCACAGACAATCCTTCGAGCAATTAAATCAAAGGATACTGATGTGATTTCGCATTGGCTTTATTGTAAATCAAAAATTATAGAAACTAGCCACCGCTACGAAATCTTATTTCATGTGTTTCAAGAATTGTTTCATGAATGTAAAGAATTCAGACGGATTTTGCCATGAACAAATTGGGTTAGTTTCTCAACTTTGATTTCTATTCTACATTCATTTAGATGCACTCTCGATATCACGGACAAAGCCGTCAACAAAACGATTGATGTTTGTGGATCGAAAATCGATTGGGCTAAAGAGCTCGGTGATGTGTGCTCGTGTGCTGAGAAAGCGGGAATTAGGTGAGAAAAGGAGATGAGAATTGCATCCACTGAGTCAGCAGCTTGAAATAACTCAAAGATCTTATTCTAATGTTAGTCAAACAAGTCAAGAGGTTTATTGAGAGGTTTATTGCGAAATTCCAGTGTTCTCCACGATTACTGTGGAATGCTTGATGAGTTCTCGGACTAATCCTTCAAATTTGTTTCCGTTTAGATCAGAAAATAAATTTTATTCTTTAAATGGCACAATTTTTATTTTATTTCACAACAACGTCAATAAAAATACCGGTAGAATCTCGAAAACTAGAAAAGGATCACAATTTGAGTAAAGAAAAGTAAAGAACGAAACAACAAGACAATAAGATAAATAAAGCTGAAGATAAGGTAAAGTTTAGCTTGTACTCTGTGCTCACTTAATCGCAACTTTCTGGCACAATGATTTCTATCTTTAAAAAGAATCCAGTTTGTCAGAAAGCTCAAAAGTATACCAACTTCTATGCAAATCTAAAAAGATTCAGATCTCAATTCTAAGATATTTATTTATTCTAAGACATTTATTTCAATTATTAACTTAATTATTAGGTTCATCAGTACTTTCCTCATCTCCCTATTGATTCAACTTTTGTTTTATTTCTTCAATCAATTCCTCTTCTCCCACTACATCACAATTCTCGACGGCGTCTCTCATTGAATAATCATTGAGACCGAGATCGGCCAACGCTCAATGCATTCCAAACACTTTACACGGACCTGAATATGATTTTAATTTGAAATCTAAATTGCACTGATTATCAAGCTAAAAGAAACCTCTCTCTTTTCACTATTCAACAACTCTCGACTGACGACTGTTGATGCAACGGTTAGATCATTTCGATAAAAGAGATCATCTACCTAGACTAATAAGATGCTTTATACTGAAAAATTTCGAACTTCTTCTGGACTTGATGACAATAATTCTTTCAACAATGTTATTGATGGAAGGCCGCCTTTTAGATTTGCAAAATCGATGAGATGTTGCCCAAAATTCGCATTTTTATTTGATCGGAGAGTGGTTAAGGCAAAGTCCTGAAAGGGTTTCTTTTAAAAACAAATTTGGATACTTTAAACTCTAGACAAGAACTTGTTTACTAACCTTAACTTCTTGTGGAGTGTTTGCATAAATGTTTGCGAAGAGTTGGATTGCTGATTTGTCATCGTGGAGATTTGAGAGTTTCGAGAAGAAAACATCATTGAAACAGCCTGGATTAGAGATTCGATTCGCTCTACTTAATCTACAGGATCACCACAAAAATTTGAGTTGAAAAGTCTTTTTTTTTATTGAACATCCTTACTCAAGTGATGCAATGGGAACTCTTGTCCACTCATCGCCATCATATCCAACAATTTGATGCACAGTGATTTCTCTTCTTTCGAGTATCTAGAGCTTGTGATGGCAGGAGCTAAACATTCAATGGTTTACTTTGGAAACAGTAAAAATGTACCTAAAACCATTGGAAGCTTTGTCTCAATCAAACAACAAATGACAGTTGGGAGAAATGAGGCCAAAGTAGATAATAAACGAATTGACGCCAATCTCACTTCTTGACTTTGATCCTGGAAAATAATCACTACTTCAGTTAGTATATTAGGATTGCTATATCCCACAAAGTTAATTAGTTTCGTTAAAGGTAAAAAAAAAGAAAGATTTGCCAGGGGAAGACCCGAACTCAAGGACAAAGGAGGCAGCCCAACTTGTATCCGAGCCTCTTACCCACTGCGCTACCCCCACACGCCGGCTCGACTGGCGAGAGAAGCCTTTTAAGCGAGATGTCGCAAGTCTCGCGTTTTTGCAGCTGATTTTCGCACAATTATGTCAATCAATATCAGTACTTTTTAAAACTCACCATAATGTAAAGATTGTTGAGTTTATACAGAAATTCATAATCATTCACGGCAATCACCGCTTGTGGGATTCGGGGATCCGTTTTCTCCGCAACGTTCGAGAAAGTATTGAGATCATCAATGTATGCATCATCTTGTTGTGAGATCGAATAGCTCAGCTAAATCACTTTTCAATCAATCTAAAATCAAAACCCTTTTCCCAAACAAACCTCGGCCTTTTCCGATAACCAATCATCTAACCGGTCCCTCAAAGTTCCCAATAATCTCGCATCAAAGCATTCCAACAAATTCGGTTGAAAGTTGACTAGAATTCCGGAGACTTTTCGAAGAACATCATCACTGAAATTGGATTTTAGATGAAATAATTTCATTGTTAATACTTTGTATGTTGAAGAAGAGTCTCAAAAACGATTCTCGCTGTCTTCACACAGTCTGATAATGGGGCTTGTGTGCCGGCTCGGACTAAACATTCAATTACACTTCAAATGATTCTATTATCTCATTGGCTTATTTAGAAGTTTATCCACTCACCCGTATCCACAACATCTGCAGCTAATTTCTCTGGATCGAGAATCGTTTCATACATAAGATTCTAAAAAGTTTAACAGTTAAAAGTCAAAAACAAAAGTTATATAAAAGTGATTGATGCATGAAAAAAGTGTCCTTTTTGTTGATTCTTCGAAAAAGAGTGAGCACATCTAATCTGATTGTCAAAAAGATGAGAGAAGAAAAGGAAATTTGAAGAGGAAAAGAGAAAGAGAGACTGTCAAGAGGATGGGAGTGTTGTTGATTGTGATTTGAAGAAAATGAATCAAAATGGCTCAATGGAAGGCAGGTAATAGAGCAAAGAAGAAATTCTTAAAAAAGAAGCATTTCCTGGCTCTGATTGCTAGATTTAAGTAGTAAAGTTGGCTGTATTTTCTAGAAGCACAGCTTTTTTGGAAAATGTTGGGAAAACAGAGATGAGTCAAAAACATTTAGCTAACTAGTTGAGGATTCAAGAGAGTTCAAGAGATGTGCCCAGAAAGTTCATAGTAAAGTCTATTTCTTCAAATTCGCCATAACTTTAGTTCATTCAGTTCACCTTTGCAAAAGAAAATGTCTGGTGTTCTTAGTGATGCGCGTACCATACAGGATACCCATCGTGGAAACCACCACATTCACTCTCGGAGACATTAATTTGGCCAAGGTTCTTGGAGAACGGAAAGACCAACTCAAATGCTCCTATCGGGGATCGAACCCGGGTCGTGCGACCGAGAAACCGATGTGTTATCCGCTCGACCACATTGTAACTGGCCGACGGGAGTTGAGAGGGGCTCTTTATGAAAGAAAAGCTGATAGTTTGAGCCAAAGGAGTATGTAAAACTTCTACTGAAAGCTAAAAACTAAAAATATCTAACTGTTCAAATAGATTTTTATTAGTTTAGCCAAGGAATGAACACTTTAGTCATCCTAGTATCTCTTATTCTCATTCTTTCCCTATTCTTCTGCTTATTGCTCAAATATTTAGTTTATTGAATGAAGTTCAACTTTTTTTTATGTCATTGAGTGTCATTATTGCTTTTTTTATTTCATTGAGTGTCATTCTATTGCTTTAAGATACAATCTATAGGAAAATCTCGAACTTTATGCTCATTCAGAGCCTGATTTGTTTTCAAGAAAGTGAAACGAAACTTCTTGCACAATACATAAGAAAATACTTGAGTAACGGCAAATCCAAATCCCTTGTTTCCATTCATTTTTTCATTGTTTAATCTCTTTTCGGATCTCCCAGGTCAGTTTCAAGTTTCTTTCTTATTTCATTGACGTTTTCCATGTGGAAGATCGAAAATTTCGATCTAAACCACACGAAATCCAATGTTTCAGTGTACAACACTTTCGGGACATTCGGAGGATCGATTAACCGAAAAAAGTGAAAATTCCTAGACTCAATCCTTTTCTTTTACCTTCTCCACCACTCTCTTTATGGAAAAGAGAAGAGGGAAATCGAACGGAGAAAGAACTTCTCGTGGTACATACGGAAAGCGACAATAAAGAAAGGCTTCAAATGATACCGATTCCGACGAGACGAGTCATTCTTGTGGCTGCAGTCAGGTGGGTACAAGATTTTCAATTTGAAAAGGTGAAATCAAAATTAACACTTGTAGGCAGAGTTTTCCATTTAAGAACTCTTTCAGTTTGATTCTTTCCGTGTTCTTGATCGCCCGTCCCTTCTATACAAAACCACCAAAAAGTCTTAAAGGATTGAAGTTCGTTTAATTATCTGTTTAGTCCAAATGGTCCAAATGGTTTAGTCCAAAGTTTAGTCCAAATGGAAGATCCCCTCCACCGGATAGTCTTGAAGATCTCCCACTTCCAGCTGATTACATGATGACAGATGAAGAGATGTTGCCAGAGAAATTCTCAACTGATGAATATGAGAATCCGGAGATCAATCATCTAATTCGTAAGATGTAAGAGCTTAAAGTTCAAAGCAAAATTTGATTTTCTATTAGCATTGAGGGGATCCCTCTTCCACACGATTATCCAATGCCCGAGGAAGTGATTCCACAAGAGAGAATTTCAAACGATTATATAGAAACGGAGGACTTTGTAGGTTTTAAAATTTGTTTAAAGTTATGAAAAACTAGGAGAGGAGAGAAATATCTCATCTATATTATGTTCCTGAGTCAAATTTCGATGAGAAGTTCACCGAGACGCTCGTTGGATCGACATGTGAACAAGTGAGTGGAAACTTTGCACAGTTTTAGAAGACAACTAGTTTTAAAAGGCAACTAGTTTTACTAGGTCTGGAACAATTGGACGACAATTGCTCAATCACAGACTCCAGAGATCCCACTTGTAGAGCCGCCAAGGGAGAAATTAGCTGAGTTTACACTTTATGGAAGAATCCCGCTCAAGCAAGAGTAAGCTTTATGAAGGTTTTTCTTGACTGAATATTTCTAGATATGTAAACGAGAAAGCGGTGCCGATAAAGATGCTCTGGGATGATATCGATGCACAAATGATGATGACAAGAGATGAAGTGATTGAAAGAGCGCATCATGTTGGATATGGGGGTGAGACTTGGAATAGATAAAATATAATAGGTAAAATAGATTCATTTATAGAGAATATATAATAAAACAGCTAAAAAAGCTAAAAATTTGAGATATTGTCTACGAGGCGATGGATCGATTCCATTCATTCATTCAGAATAAGAGTGGCGCCGTTTTTGGAGCCACGAATCCATGGGTGAGTTTAAATTGCAGTTCTTATACATAAACGTGTTATGAACTTTATACGCTAACTCTTTTAAATGCAAAT